AGCAGGCAGAGTGTGTGTGTGTGTGTGTGTGTGTGTGTGTGTGTGTGCGTGTGTGTGTGTGTGTGTTGTTTCCTACCGTTGTGTGACAGATGATTTTATTATCAAATACTCAACATCCTTAACTCAAATGCATGGATTAGATTATCAGTCATGATTTGGCCTTTGGAAGTCTAAGTACTTTACTCTGTATTCATTCTTCTATTAACAAAGTTACTTTTCTGTGCTCCTGGCAGTAGGAAAGGCCAAAGAAGCAGTGTGCCCTCTTTGAGGGTTTTCTTTAAGGGCAATGCAAATGAGCTTCTTTATTTTTTCTTACTGCTCAACTGAAGGCTGTTGGTTTTCATTTTTTATTTATTCTTTACGTTTTAATGTTTTATATCTCTTTGCTCAGGACGAGACACCAATGTCTTGGTTTACATCAAGAGAAGACTAGCAATGTGTGCTCGAAGACTTGGGAGGACGAGAGAAGCAGTGAAAATGATGAGAGATGTGAGTTTACGTTCATGCTTGGGATTAGTAGCAACGGACCTGGCTTCGAGCTGCAGGACCTCACAGAATGGGCCCAGTAGACAGAGCCAGTGATAGGACAGTGGTCCATGGGCTTCAAAGCAAGCTCCCAGTGGACTGGTGAATAGTCTCAGAAAATTTACTCAACTTCTGTACCCTATTTTCCTTATCTATAAAATAACAATAACAGCCTTCCAATAATATCTCAAGATTGCTGAAAGAATTAAATGAGACAATACAACTTTAGTATAGGATGACTGGCACATTAAAAAATCACAATAGATGCCCTTATTAACAAACCTTTGGGACTATAGCAGAAACCAATAGCAAGTTCAACCATTTTAGATATTACTGCTTCAGTATATAGTTATTGGGAAATTTGAATGAATTGCGGATCAAATTATTATGCTCACATTTAACAATATTATGAGCCAGTTCTGTTGCAGTAATTTTAACCATTTTCCCTACATTCTCGAGAATCAGTATGCTTTACTAGTTGTAGTTAACATAAGAATTAAGAAGAAAAGGGATTGTGGTGACTCATTGGCAGAGCACATACTGATCAGCATGTAAGAGACCTTGGGTTTGATCGCCCATGCTAAAAACATGTAATAAAATAAAAAAATTTAAAAGAAGGGAAACCTGTTTTAAAATGAAAGGTAACTTGGAGAGGTTATTAATATATAACTATAAAACAAAACAGTGACTTTAAAAGAAACAATTTAAGGTACTTTTATTTCCATTTTTTGTTTTCATTGTTAGTAAGAATCACTTTTATAAAGAAACTGACATTACTGTAAATTGCATTTATAAGACATTTTCTTTTCCAAAACAACCTAAAAAAAATCCCTTGTCAACAGTTCATTCTTCTACTATATCCCTAAATTAGAATATATAGCTAACTACCCTTTATAAAAACAAACAACTTAGGAGCAAGGTAAAAGTAGTATCCTGCATAGTCCTGAACTCATGGGTTCGAGTACAGGCCTGTGCAAACTGCTTGAGTCTACCTACTTCACTGAGCAATAGGATAGCCCCAAATCCAAGGATAGGAAGAAGAGGAAGATTATGAAGGTGATACAGGCTCAGCCAGCGTTAAATTCTTTTAGTTGACGAAATAATTCAAAATATGTTTTTTATATCACACAAGAGCTAATTGTGAGAAAAGGAGATTTCTGCAGAGGTGTAAACTTGCCCTCAGAGCTTTTCAGCCTGAAGAAGTTCCATCCCTTGATATAGCAGAGACATTCTGTAAGTGACCCTGGCTGTAAGAAGCTGGGAACTTATCAAAGGATGGAACATTTCTCCCTCTTAGCCCAGCTACATTCAGCCTTTAACTAGGCATTTTACTTTTCTAATATTTTGTTATTTTTATTTTATGTATATGAGTGTATTGCCTGCGTGTGTGTTTGTGTACCTGTGTTGAGCAATGCCAAAGGAGGTCAGAAGAGGGCATTGGAGCCCCTGGAACTGGAGTTATGGATGGTTGTTAGCTACCATGTGAGTGCTGGGAACTGAACCCAGGTCCTCTGTAGGAGCATCCAGTGTTCTTAACTGCTAAGCCATCTCTAGCCCTTAACTAGATATTTTATAATTTAGTCTTAATTAACCTGGAGCAGGCATACACAGAGGTACATATTTTGGTGATCTTCTTCTGTTCTTAAGCAACTCTGTAGGAAAACCCAGTTATGGTTATTTTAATTTCATTTTTCTCATTCTTATTCTGCTTATTTTCAGTGTATGCATATAAAATTTCATATAGTTAAAATCAACATGTATATCATGTATGTAGTATGATTTGATTTTTGACATTATTTTGTATTTATAATTCCACTTATTGACTTAGCACAAATGTAGGTTTAGAGAGAAAGTTTGGGATGCAGAGGGAGAAACTGGGCAAGGAGTCAAGAAGCCTGGTTGTGAGTTTAGCTCTCCTTTCTGCATGCCTTGGACTCTAGGCAGTTCACTTTCCTCCTATGGGTGTCTCATTTAGTTTTCTGTTAATAGGGTATAATGTTTCTTACCTAAACGGGTACTTGTTGGAGAGAATTCAGTTAGATAATGTGAAAACATGTGGCATGTAATAGACATGCTTAAAGTTTCTCCATATTTTTCCTCTATTATATAAGCTATTCATATAATTTTCTTGTCAGTTGTCCTGAAGAGCATATCACGATAACTCTGATTTTATTTCTTTTGTCTTTTTTCTTTTTGTTTCTGAGATAGGGTCTCATTGTGTAGACCTAGCTGGCCTGAAACTCTGTGTATATGCCAAGCTGGCCTCAAAAATCACAGAGATCAACATTCCCCTGTCCCCTGAATGCTGGGATTAAGTACTTATGCCACTATTCCTGGCTCATTTTTTAGTTAAAAAATTTAAGTGTGCATTTTAAAATTGGTACATAACTGTATTTTTATTGGGTACAGCATGACATTTCATGTTTGCAATATATAGTGACAGATTAGGGCAATTAGTCTATTTGTTACTTCAACCCAGTTTCTTTTTCTTGAATGAATAAATCAGTCAAGTAATTGCCTTTGGATTCTATCTATATATGCAGACACACCTACATTTATGCACATTTATATGTATATATGGGTGTGATTTTTGCATTACATTTCTAAAACAACCTGTCATTTCTTTTTTATTTATTATTTAAAAAACATTTTATGCGTATGCATGTATTGCCTACATGTAGGTAAGTGCACTCGTGTCTTGCAATGCCCGCGGAGGTCAGAAGAGGCTGTCGGATCCCCTGGGACTGGAGATACAGAGAGTTGTTAGCTGCCATGTGGGTTCTGGAATTCAAACCTGGGTCTTCTGTAAGAACGAATGTTCTTAACTGCTGAGCCATCTCTTCAGCCCCCAACCTGTCATTTCTTAAAATACAAATACATGCTGCTTTTTTTCTGAGTTTATGGAGTGTCCAGTCAATGTAGATCCTACTGTGGTTAAATAGTCCCATGAAGAACAGTGTCAAATATGGTAGAGATGTGTTTTGAAGATGTACATTGAAAGTGCTCTTTCAGAAACTCCGTAAGTGTCCATGCACCTTACACAGAGGAGCAGAGACTGACATCTTCTTTTTTGTCAAAGCTGTAGCTGAACCTGGCAGTAGAAGTTGTTGACCAGGCCTGACTTACCTGACTCCACTCAGGTCTGTGGGTCAGACTTCCCTGATGATTAACTCCTTTAACGGCATGCACGTAAACCATCTCACCATAAAATTTCCCCTGATAAAACAGCACAATGGATTCCAGGCAGCTGCTGATAAAGTGTTTAGGCAGGAGGATCTAATTTTTTATTGAGACACAACCATCCCCTCTCCATATGCATAGCTTTAAATTTCCTTGAGCAGATTTTAAAGTGGAAATAGGAATGCCAGATTTAGAATGCCTACCATGTAGACAGCAGGGTCATTTGAAGATGTTTCCCTGGAAAGGCCTTAAGGAAGAGCAAACTTTAACTGCTGAGAGATCCTGAAAGAAAATGAAAGGAATTCTGGGAAGGTAGAGAATTTCTTATATTCCCATAACTCAAGATGGTACTGTTGTACGAAGTATTGACTGTTGTCAGTAAAATATTGATGAAGTAAATGTACATTTGGCTCTTCAGTATGGAGATTCATAGCCTCTCCATTCCTAAAGCAACACATTACATATTGTAAGTCCCCAGAATGTTTTTACAGGAACCCAAAGTCCCTTTTGCAATCAAGAATACAGAATACCATAGTGCTTTAGGAGTGTTTTGGCAAAAGGCAGAGCTAAGAAAGCATGCTGGCTGTTGAGCTTTGCTGTGAGGTGAGAATTAACTCAAAATGAACAGGGTTGAATTTTCTTGTCTTAAATTTAAGGAAGAATCTTTGTGCTTGTTCTTATCTTTTAACATTTGGTTTATGATGCATTTTTCTCTTGTTTTGTACCATTTAGTCTCTACCATGAAGATAGCCTCAGGTTTTCCCTTTGTCTTTCCCTTGTTCTATTTGAGTAGATTGTAAGTGAATTCACAAGGGAAATGATGTGGTCTGGCTCCTTAGCCATAGCTGTCAAGCCTGGTCTGAGTAAACCAAGAGGATGGGAAAGTCTGCCCCTATGAAGAAACCTAAAATAACTTGCAGCCTAGGATTATGTGTTCTAGAGCAGGGTTTTCCAAGCCCAGTTCTGTGAACATTCTGAGCCATATAATTCTTTGTTGTGGGGAGTTATCCTGTACATTATAGGATTTGGGAGACTGACCTGTACATTGTAGTGACCTGTGTCCCCATCACTTGCCAGTTATCTCCACACATCCCTAAGTGTCCTTAGGCCAGAATGGTAGTAGTAGTAGTGAGTGATCACCTCATTAAGAGTCACCAGAGACTCCTGGGGTGAGTGGATGTGTTTCTAATACAGATATTACGTGTGTTCCATTTTTAGCCTGAACTTCTCTTATTTGGGCCCAGGCTTTCAGAGCACTCCTAGGCTTGACCAATCTGGGTTGGGAGACTGTGAGACTGTTTTTCCCAGATGGAATTCCCTGAGGTGATATCAAGGGCAAGAAGAATAAAATAATTTGGGAGTTTTTGTGAGGCTCTGGTGGGAAGCCTGTTGTGGAATTGTGGTCTTCCTTGCCTCCTGTGCATGCTTTCAGATCACTGCTTGTTGCATTTCCCTAAAATTTACAGCTGCTTTAAAAGTCAGCCATGGGCTTTAAAAGTCAACCTGTCTCCCTATTTTTTGTAGTTTTCTTCAAATCTCTGAGTCATTCTCTTTCATTGCTGCTTTGCTTTCTCTGCAATATTGCTTCTCTTTACATATCCAGATCTCTCAAATGACACAGATGATTATGCCGTTTTTTAACCATTTTATATGCTGTTAGTTTTTAGTCACTGTGACAAAAATACCCAAGATAACTTCTAGGAGGAAAGATTCATTTTGCCTCACGGTTTCAAAGGTTTTAGTTCATGGTCAGTTGGCTCCATTGTTTCTGGGTTGTGGTGAGG